TGGGATGTTTCGCCGTTTTTCTGGTAGAACAGCTCAGCATCGCAGAAAACATTCATCATCATATTGATCTTACACTGCAGAGACATCTGTAATTATTTCCTAGTATTGCCTATTATTATTTCAAAAATCTCATATTTAGGAACGTCGTACCTTCATATTGAAACCCTGGGGTGTCTCAGTGACTAGCTACGGGCTAGACGACTGATAATCAGGTCTTCACTATTACCACCAGATAAATTCAGTCTTATAATTGGAGGGGGTAGGCTATCCTCAATTCCATCTACAATGGGGTCGAGATTAAGAGGGCGTGGTTTTACCTGCGCTCCCATTACGCACTGCTTTCGCACTCAGCCTGGGTCTGAGCGCCCACGGCCCCCTGGTATAATTGGCCCACAAACGACAGATAGAATTTCCATCGTCGTCGGTACGACTAACGGATACCAACATGTCCAGAAAAAAAAGCAGTTTACTAGGTCATTTAGAAGGGCGATGTCTTCGAGCAAATCGATTTTACCGACAGTTGCGGCCGAGAAGTTAGCACTGCGTTCGGGAATTTTCGAGTTCGGGTCTTAACCAGGAGATCGATTATCATCACTTAGGTTTTTTGGAGTCTTCCTCAGTTCCTAATGCAGAAATATTACATTTGATTATCTAAAGGTCACGAACTGGACGACCGGGGTTCGATCCCCGACGGGGACAGAGGATTTTTTTCCTCTAGCTCTGCGTCCAGACCGGCTCTGGGGCCAACCCAGCCTCCTCTACAATGGGTACCGGGGTCCTTTCCCGGGGGTAAAGCCGGCCGGGGCGTGATGCTGACCACTCACCCCCATCTAATGCCGAGGTCAAGGAAGAGAGGAGCTATACCTCCACTCCCCCCAAGCGCCTACATGGCGTATAGTGGGACAAACTTTACTTTACTTACAAATTTGTTTATGGTATTTATGTTATCCCCAAATATATTTACATCATCAGCATATACCAAAAATAGAAGCTGATATGTACCATTCAATTTCAGTTCCACTATTGGCGTATTCTAAAGCAAAGTTTAAAAGCAATGGTTATAAAGCATTCCTTGGTTTAGATTACTTTTAATAGGAAGCATGTCAGACAAATGTTTACCTGCACGGACATTATTTTTGGTTTCATTGAAACACATTTTAATAAGCCTAAATAGTTTCATGTGTATATCAAACTCAATAACAATATTGTACAATACTTCTCACCTAACTGAATCATAGGCTTTCTTATAGCCTATGAATAACTGATGTACTGTCTCATTGGAATGTCATTTCTTTCCAATATCTGACGAATTAAAAAAATCTTATCAACATTTGACCTTTTACGTCGAATCCCGCACACATCTTATCTAATAATTTTGTCTGCGCGAGGGGGAATAATGTTGGATAAAATTTTGAATGAACTTGATAACAGTGATATGCCTCGAGTATTACTAGTCAGATTTATCGCCCTTCTTCTAAATTTGTACAATAATTAATTCCTTCCACTGATGAGGCATTCTTCCTTATTCCGTTATGGGACAAAATACGAAAAAATTTGAAGACGGAAAAGTCGTTACAGCTACTCTCTTTATCGACATAAAAAGTTAACGGTGATGCTCCCATAATGACATGTCTCAGTAGAGTCATAGGAAGCGTTAGTAAAGGAGACAGAGATGCTACAGGAAACAGTAAGTGAATGGAAACATATGATTTCCAACAGCTTTGTACTTTTTATATTTTTCCTTATTTTACCAAATAACAGAGGTCTCCTACGGTCCTAGACTTATGGGACACACTGTATAATGTGAGATATTAGCTTGTTAAGTAGACCATAAATAATTAATTCTTCTCAGGTTACCAGCCGTGTCAGATGGTTGAATGGAGACGAGAAACATCTTCCTTCTCGTCCTGAGGATGCTGCAGTTCCCTGAAGACGTGGATGCAAATGGTTTTCGAAACTTTGGTGTTTTCTCCATTTAACCACCTGACACGGCTGGTAGCCTGAGAAGAATTCTTTATACCTAGTCTAGTAGCCGTGAAAGCTTCAGATCATAGACCATAAATAAATTAAGAAAAATAAAGCAAAATGACAATTTATAGTTTGTGAGATGATAAAGTTGCGTCATATTGTGATAAATATATATTTGTTTAAATCTTGTCAGTTCTAATCACAATAAAATTCCTATTAATATTAAAATATTACTATAATTAACATTTAAATATTTAAAATATATTAAATGATGTTCTCATGTTAATATATTTTAAATATTTAAATGTTAATTATAGTAATATTTTAATATTTAATAGGAATTTTATTGTGATTAGACTGACAAGATTTAAACAAATTTATAGTTTGTTAAAACTCACTATCAGGCATGAGTGAAGTTGAGAATGTTTCTACAACTAAAGAAAAATCTTTTCGTTTACTCTAATTACAAATACAGGAGTAAAAAAGGACTTATTTGCAGTGTACAGAATCACTACTGGAGATAGAGGAAGTTAAGTACCAGTACACGTTGAGTAGTGTGATTATTGTCAATTATCGACCGACAAACGCTCAGAGCACACGAATATTTTCCGTCACATTTAACTCTATCACAAAGTAAAATGTATTCCAGAACCCGATAAACTAGTCCAAATAAATAAGACGCAATATATTTTAAGATATCTGTCTTCAGACTCACCGCCGTGAAAACCTCAAATTATTTGTTAAATTCAGACACCCGCAATTTCGGCAACATTTCACATTCATTTGCGTTTTATTAGAAGTTTAATTATCTGAGTTACTACATTGAAACACTGAGCTGTGTTAAACATTAAGGTGATTTAATTTTTACTACACACATTGTTAACATCTGCGCTACTAAAAATCTTCAAATTTTGTATTTGGGAGGTCTCGGATCCATATCTCGTCCCTGAGACCGACTTTCCTGATAGAAGTTTTTCATGGTTTTCCTCGGTCGCTCCAGGCAATTGAAAGAATAATTTGGCTTTCTTCCATTTTCTTTCTAATTTATTATTAAATATTATCCTATTTCGACACTATATAGTATGGGTTACTGACAAAGCGTCATTTAATAAATAAATAACATGTGCACTAATTGGAGTTGAGTATTGTTTCGTTATAATACTCATAACTCAATATTCTTTTTAATAAATTGATATTTATATACCGCGACACTTTGAATACAAATGTGTTTTCCTTCTAAATATTTGACTACACTTCACAAAGTGTGTTGATGGTAATGAGGGATTCTAGACCTATTAGACTTATTAGCTGGCATTGTTTCTCTATACATACTTTTCTGTATTTATTTATGTTTATTACATAAGCCTGTTGCACGTTTACGACTTAACAATTTGCTTGTCACTTTTTAATTCATTACTTGTCGCTGAATTATAAACTTTTAAAGTTACAGGTCCTTCTGCAGTGCATACCACAAGCCGTCATAAGTAGGCAGAATCATGAAAGGTTTCAAATAAATACGTAAATAACAATTTGAAATAAATTTATGTGAAAAACTTTACAGCAAAATAAAATATAATGTGGTACGACATAATAACTTAATTTAATGTCCCACAAGGTGGAAAAATTTGAATAAATCTTCTTAATAATTAGCAAGAAGCTGATGATGATATATATATTTTCGAAAAACGAGTAGTACAGATTACTATTTTATATCTAGGGGTTTGATAATTTATTCCACTGCTGTGTGAGATAAAGTGCAAACTATGAAATTAACTTCTAAATCAAATTTTGAATTGCTATGATATTCATACCTGTGTGCGTGACATCTGAATTAGTTTGATCGAGCTGTTCAGCAGCTTCGAGTTCCAGCTGTCTTGCCCTTGCGAAACTCTCTTCGTCAAACAATTTGACTGTGATGGAGTGAGAATTAAGATACTGTCCAATCTTTCGTATCAGAAATGCGTCCAGACGCGAGTCCACGTCATTAGGATAATCCCTGGCGAGAGATGCAACCAATTCCGCAGGAAACTTCCTGTCAGATGTAGTTTCGTCATCGCCATTTCCGGTATCGGCACTAGAATTGTCCCTAACAACCGTCACACCCGGTAATAATTGATATTTGTCTGTTTCGGAAAGACGATCGACTAATGATACCACGTCTAGTTTAAGGCACGTCAGCGTGTATCGGTGGGAACAACCTTTTGACATAACCTTCTTCATTATATCACCAGGTGACAATGACAGATGGTTCTTAGTGCCTTCAAAATTTCTCCACGAATTTGCCAAAGTCTGACTGTTGTCTGATGACAGTGATGACGAAACCGCTGGAATGTAACTGTTGTATATTGGAGTAGCAGTATCTGATTTAACGTCAGAAATAGAAGAAGCCGGAATCTCGCAATTCACGGCACGAATCTCGTTTTGGACGAGAAACAGCGACATTAATAACGCTGCCAGTCGTATGTCCATTTTAACACTACGTCTTGAAGACATATTAATTTCTATAAAGCACTGAACGTAAAGACACTCGAAGATATTAACTCTTTAAAACTAAATATGAATCTTTTATGTGTTATTTACAAATTTTAATATTATAACTTTAGCGGAATGTAATGTAGACGTCCATGCCTTCTGCCTGGATTTCCAAGAAATTCTGCAGTGATTCTTGTACCCATGTGCTTATATAGCTGTGGCTTAGTGCATCGTCACATTCACAAAATAAAATAATACGCTTTGCTTTGGGAAATGTGGGCCGCCTGGATGTATTACGTTAAAGGTTTATAAGATCTGAATAAGAAAAAGATGTCTGTAACGGGGAAGGAGGAGAAGGGGGAAAAGCGGTGGTAATTCAGGAGCAGTGCAGTGATTTTATGGCTGGCCATCTGCTGACGAGATCCACTGCTCTGCTCTCTTTTGCCATTGGACGACCCGTAGGGACACCGTTCACTAGCAAATTTTTTTAGATGGATTTTAGTGGAGCATGACTTAGTACGTTCGGCGACAAATGAAGAACGGAAATAAGAAAAAATGTAATGAAATTGAGTTGATAGAATGTGATTGTAACAAAAGTCAAAAGTGAAGGGTAGGGTGAGATGTTTCGCGGTCAATAAACAATAAATATAAATTGTTGAGGGCAAGACGGAGACAAGTGTCAATTGCATGCTTGAACCACTTTCCCGATGAATATATATAAAAAAAATTGCAACCAGACTGTCTACTGATTAGCCATCAAGTCTTGTAACCCGAGTTCTGCTACGTAATTATGAAAAAGTAAAATGGTATTCCTTCTTAAACTTTTTCATCTTTTTCCTTTCCAAGATTTGGATACTGATTTTATCATTTCGAAGCAAAAACTTGGAACTACTGATACTTCCATCTCCTTTTAGGTCTTCCAAGGTCTCTTCTTATCTATAGTTTACATTCCATAGAAACTTTTAAGCATTCCTGGGGCATTCTTTCCATATGTTCTTTCTGTTCTTGTCTGCAATTTGCTATTTATATAATTACATCTGGCTCTCATAATATAACCGTCAATGTAAGAGTAGAATGGATTATTTTGTCGGAACACCACGCCATAAAAGCACGCACTTTGTATCTCTACACGTGTTTAACTTCATGCTCTGGCTTCTTTATCCCCAATCAAACAGCTTTGGCTGTCACTAGGTAACACACAGGATGGGCCCCAGAGCCAGTAGGACCGTGGTGGAAAACGGAAATTACGGCCCGTCTCAGAAATCGAACCCGGTCGCCCAGCCCAGCCGTGCAATCGGAAAGATATTACTTTTGAGGTACGAGCTTCGAAGTAATTATTTAATTATTTTGTTAAATTAAACATCACATTGTGGAAACGAATAAGGTAGCGAACGGGAACTGCTTGTCTTAGGACACTGCCCAGTCGTGTCCTGCAAGGACTTTGGGCTGACAGAACCCGGAATCTTCCTGAAAGTAAGCGGAAGTGCTAACCACTGCACCGTGACTTTCGGTCTTCATTTGCTTTATGTAATACAAGCATAACAAAAAGGTGTAGTCACTTGGATACAAATCTGTGGTTATGTACAACGTCATATAGAACATTATTAACAACCATCACAGTATAATTTTTAAACTCTGTGTATTCCACGGTAGTCGACATGTTTAGAACGTACAGGATGCATAAATCCACAGGGGATATTATTAAAAAGTTATTATGTTACATTTACAATTATTAAAATAAGTTTAGATTCATGAATGCTTACATTACATCATACAACATTTCTTTCCAATGTCGTTATACTCTATTTTACTACACATGGTCAATATTTAATGCCTTGGAGTTATTTATACTATGTGGTCCTCCAGAGCAACGTTTATACATACTTACTTGAAAGAAACAGTCTGTATTTCGTACATTATCAGGTGTTATTTCCTTCTTCATCCTATGCTGTGTTCAATATCTTTATTTATGAGCGTTACTGTACTCTCGTACAATATTTTTATAAAGGTTGTAACAATCAAAATAGAAACTGGCTCTTAGTCGGTTAATGCACAGGACAAATTGAAGTAAAGCTTTATTTCCATACAAAGAGACTTAATAGGTTGTGCGGGGCTGCATAACAGAAGAAATTCTAAGGAACTGAAAATTTATCCTATGAAGCTAAAATGTTTCGTACTTTGAATTAGAACTTGCTGTATGTTGTTATGAAATGTGGTTTATGCCGCGTACATCCTGTGTACTCACAGATTGCTTCTTCGTTTATGATTCCTGGTTCTTGTGTCTAATAAAGTTGATGCTACTAATCCTCTGATATTGTTCCAGCTATTATATATTGTATACAATAAAAATTTAAATTATTGTATTAATTTTGTATGGAATAATAGTTACTTTTTGATAGCGAGTACCTGAAGATGAACAGATATTTTCTAAACATGTTGGGTATCATAAAAATTTATTTTTGCTTGGTAAAGAGTTATGTTGTACCGTTTTTTAATAAGCCAACATATGGCGTATTATTATTTAGTATGCGGAAGAGATAAGATTTTTAGATTTTTTAAATTCTCCCTCTTGCAATAAAGTTGTTTTGTAATTTTGTAACAGTCAATATCTATTCTGCTCGATCCTAATGCTGTAATTTATAATGACCGATTTTTCAGAATGTGATGGCATTCGCAGTAGAAGAACGTTGTATGAATCGTGTTAATATTAGCATTGCACCTGTTCTACAATTTTTTTTTTTTTCCCAGTGTTTCCCAAGAATAACCTACAGAGTAACTGTATCATTAAACTAGGACAGCTGTTACCTCACATCACTCTGCAAAGCCATTGCTTGTTTTCTCATAACACAAATTTGGCAAGATCCCTAAAACTGATATTCGAATTACGATGAATGATGATTGCTTCATTAGTCGAATAAACCGTTATAACAACATATTTGTAAAATTAGTTGAATAAAATTTTTAACACAGTACACATGCACTGAAGAAAGCCTGCTGAATCACGTGATTTTCTCCGCACTAGATATATGTTAGTAATTGTACCGCAAATACTATTAAATATATAAGTTTCAAAACTACCGTCACTTAGTAACATTTAAGAATTTTCTCTCAGAACATTACATTTCTAAGGAACTAACCATTTTATTTATGTAAATAATTTAAAATATATTTTAATCAGATGAGAAGAATATTCTCTTAAAAGAGAAATACGTAATTAATCAGAATTAGAAATCATCAGATTTAATTCAGAATTAAGAGGTTTATTTTAATACATATCATAAGTAAATCCACTGCTTGAATATCGGTTTTCATATGTCTAGAAATTTAAAATAATGAAGTACCTTACCTTAGGGAATATTTAATGAAAAGATTACATTTTATAAATCTGCGGATCAGTACAGTGTTCATATACCCCGAATGGCAGAAAATAATTTTCTAACACCCACATCGACATCCAAATATTACAAAGGACTGAATATAGTTGAGACCCGCAAGTTTAGAATATTACTGCATATTCCCTTACACTTTTCTTCCTTTCGTATGCGCGTTTTAGGCCATTTTTGTTCTTTGCTGTCGCATGGTTTTATTTTGATTGGCGGAACGGTTGGTGCGTCTCTGAAGAGACTGGAGCAAATCATTAAGGTGGTTTGATTTAGTCGCTAAATTAATAAAAGGATCGCAACAAGTTTCTCCCAACGTCTACTTATGATCACGGAACTGAGAACTGTTACGGTCAGCAGTTTTTGCACAGTTAGGGCACAGATGATACAAGTAAATCTGTCTCTCCATTAAAATATCTAGAATGAAGCCATATTTATTTGCATTTACAATATAATAATCAGTCTGATGAAAATTCTGTATACGTAATTATTTATGTTTTCTGTGCATGAAGTGGACAAAATGAAAGCATAAAGGATGTCATGCTGGCTCGTCTGTTTACGGTAAAAACTTACTAATAAGGCTCTCCATAATTTGGACTGCCTTGTATTTGTTTGTATTTTATTTGTGTAGAATAATAATTCTTCCTAATCGAGAATTAATGAAAAAAATCCACTTCGTGTCGGCTTAGATAAGCACTGAAATTCACATATAGTATCTACTTCGTTCTGTTTGATTTTAATTGTTCGTATAATTTTATTTTATTATAATTATTTTCATACACTTTTTTTGTTATATTTGTATCCTAAAGCCGTCTAAGTTAATACGTGTTTCTGGATTGTGAATAAATTTGCTTGGTTTTATGAACTACTACCTGAATATTTTTATGTAATATTAATTATTATTATTATATTAAATATTCTCTCTTTTCGTTACTTTAGACTACCATTTTAACTGTTAAATAGTGAGGTATTACTACATTACATTTTCAGAACTACTGAAGGATTTCAATGGAATATATTATTGAGAGCACATTTCGTAGAGTTTTATATAAAGTAGATCTTAGGTTAAGCCGATAAGATGAAGTTGTACCTTCGTTTAGGAAATCACGATTTAAGACACGTAGGAATGGACTTAACTTGGCTGAACATAGGACCGACATTATTGTTTCCGCATAGCAATATATAGATTCTTATCAAGCTGATTCATCCGATAAGTGATTGATATGTGGCACAGTACATGGACATAATATTTTAAACTTTTATTTGAATCATTTTATATATGGTGAATATTTAACAAAATACGTATAAGACTATTTCTCGCTCATGTTATGTGATTAACATACGAGGAAAAGGAGTTGTATCTCCAAAGTTGTATGCCCAAACATGAAAACTGAGGTCAATAAGATATGCAAAATAGCAAAGATGACATTTGGAAAACATATATAGTCTACATTCATAGGAAGCACTTCTCTTGCCAAAACATTCATTGGACTGCGTTCCTTCTAAATATTCCGTTACTTATATTAGATCTATATACCTCGTTGGATTTACTCTACCGGAATCTTATATGAGGCATAATTGGGCGATTAAGTTTTTCGGTTTCTTCCTTTCAAACGAACTGTCAGTCTTCAAAAGCGGATTACTTTAAGATGGTTGTAGTTCTAACTGTGGCAGGTCCAGGAATCCAGTTCAAGTAGGAGACAAGATGTCTCGCGGCTGGAAGGTGAGTAGAGCATCGATCTACAAGTGGCAAGGACAAGGTATAATGCAGTGTGATACAAACAAAA